AGATATTATAAAATAACTCGAGAAACTTTTATACATACTAAAAATGTCCGCAGAAACATAAGTGCATAAACGAACACATAATTCTCAACAAATTAAGAATAAATACCTAGAAAGTTTAGCATTAGGCAGCCTTTTATGGTCTAAAGTTTTACACAAAATTCTCGAAATTTTCTAAGTATTTAGCAAATTATATTTCACCACATCATGCAAATGAGACTTGGCTATTTCTCCGTCAGCTCCTTTTGGGTAAAATCCACCAGGCTTATTCTCGTTTCCACTTCCATACACGATTCTAAGTATTTCTTCAGGCGTTCGATCAAATGCCAAAGAGAATTTGTCCCCGGCGAGCACATTCCCTCGAATTCTACCCTCGGCACCTTGTGCTGGTTTCACTATTAGTCCTTCATCTTTTAATCCCCCTTTTCCTAGCTTATTTCGTAGATATGATATTCGATTAGTGAATTCGGCCACCGTGTATCCATAGGGTATTACCTTTACCATTGCCCTTTCGTAGAGGAGCGCTCTTATAATTGCGTCTTGACCTGATTCCACGCCCAAAAGGCCCGCCACTACCTGATCAAACATTCAAAATATTAGAGCCAACGAAGATTTGCGTTCAAGATTCACCACTAATGACTACCTATTTATGAAAATTGTACAGTCAGATTTTTTATTGAAAAATGACATGCGAAGCATGTTATATCTTGAGTTCAAGTCTCGGTTTCACCAATTTCAGAAAATTGTGTACACCTTTGGACAGAGTGGTTCAATAATAATTAACGTACCCTTTTGGCTGTAGAGCTTTGGAGTTTTGGGTTTGCCCCGACATATCCGGTGAGTCCAACGTAAGGAACAACATAGGATGCAAGAAGATAGTTGATGTCATTTGCATAAGGATCAAAAGGAGGCACCAATGGTTTCCCAAATGCATTGTTCATAATAGTAGCAAATGAAGATGCACTTAGATTCAGTAATGGCCTGGGGAATCCTGGAACCGTCTTCTTTATCGCTCTGCACCATCAACTTCCTTAAAATCAAGCATTTTCGCCATACTATCAAAAGTAGTAATTCTACGAAATAGTAGTCATTCTCTATGATGCGAACATATGTTCGCTTCCCTCTACAAGGTTTCACTTCAACGAAAAGAGGCAAATTACATTATGTTTCGGAATTCACATCTTTGTTTTTCCTTTCTAACTCGAAAGAGGCCCACCTATATGGTCAAACTATTAGGTTGATACGCAGTCGATAAGAAAAGTGAGCAGTATGATCAGACTCCATACATCCAACATTTTCGCAGTTTCTTTTTTATTTTTTGTAACAAAAATCATGATTTTCTCCTTACTCGATCATGAAAATCGTGGACATGATCAATCTATTCACGTACTAGGAGTCTGTCATATATCTCTAACAGTTTAAACTTTTATGTGAGAAAATTTTAAATCTATGTTGTTAACTAACTAACAGTGAAGAGTATTAAAAACAAACAAAGAAAGAAAGAAGTTAACCTCAGATGTCCAAATTCTTGAAATGCAAATTGTGCAATAATATCCTTCAAATGTGCACTGAGTTTGGCCTTTTTAGCGCCGATAGGAGGTGGACCGCCCATGGCGAGACTCGGAGCAAATCTATCCAAGCCATGGCCCAAAGCTCCCCATGAGAAGAATTCAGCTTCCAAGTACTCTAAATTTAAAGGGAATTCCAAAAGATCAACGTCGGATTTTGGTATCTTTTCTTCGTCATTCACTATGAAGAACTCTGCGGAGCCGCCGAGGAAGCGGAGGAGGAGAAGGAGGAGGAGTGAAAGAGGCTTGAATGCGGTGGTGGAAGCGGCGGAAATGGACAATGCCATGAGTGAAAATATGGCAAGTTTTTTGGGTTCCCTTTCGTTTGTAGTTCAGTTTACATTTTCTACACCTATATATACACGCACTGTTAATGCCACGTGGCAAGAAAATGTGCGGTCTAGAATTTGTAATAGAGAAGGAATTGGAGGTGAAATTGACATTTTCATGCATGATAGAAGGGGTGTTGAGAGTTGGAAATTAACATAATATTATCCTTATTTTATTTTTTTAAAAAATTATTTTTTGGGCCTTCTTGGAAATATGTGAAATAATAGGTGGATGATGAAATAGTGAAAGATATTGAAGAAAATTTGAAATTCTAATTTTATTTTTCAAAACAATTTTTTAATATTCCAATGCTATATAGTTCAGTTTAATATTAGGTGACAAACATTCTTTAAATGCTTGTGTTCATAACTACATTTCATGCTCTTTCAAATTCCTCCATTTCCTAAGGTCATATTATTTCCATGTCAGTTTGAGCCTTAAAAATCTAACACTCGATTGGTTCAATTAAATGAATCAGCGTGACATTACATTTTATCATTAATTTCATTACTCACTAATAATTCTTAAAGAGAGTATTTTCAGTTATCTTATGACTTGTGGGCACTCGCATAGCATATTTTATCATTAATTTCATTACTTTCAATTCTTCTGTATATCTATTATCCCCTTGAGGGAGATCTCTGCTCCTATTACCAAAATGATATTTGTTATATTATTATTACTATACAATATGTTAAATTCATCAATGATCAACTAACTTTATACTTAGTGTCATTATGACCACCAATTTAATTTTGTTTCACCATGGTCATCCAACTTTATATCTAGTATCACAATCGCCACCCACTTTTGTATAACATTTCACCATAACCACTCAATTTCGTATATTATTTCACCATGACCGCTCAACTTCTTTTCACAATTTTCATTCATTTTAAAAAGAGTAAAATTGTAACTTTGCATTATATATACAATAAATTTTAAAAAAATAAAAATAATTTTTTTCATTTTAAATTTTTTTTAAAAAAGTTTTTATTTTATTTTTTAAAGGAATTTTTTTTAAATAATAAATTTTTATTTTATTTTTCTAAGTAAGGTTTTTTTTTTAAATAAGTTTTTATTTTATTTTAAAAACATTTTTTAAATAAGTTTTAATTTAATTTTTTTTAAATAAGTTTTTATTAAAAAAATTATTTTTTAAATATAATGCAAAGTTATCGTTTTACACCCTTTTAAAATTAGTGAAAATAAGTTTAGGGTCATAATAATACGTTATACGAAATTGGGGGGTCGTGGTGAAATAAAATCAAATTGGATGGTCATAATGAAATTAAGTATAAAGTTTGGTGACCATGGTGAAACAAAATCAAATTAACTGGCCATGATGACACTATGTATAAAGTTGAGTGGCCATTGATAAATTTAACCCCTATACAATACATAATTCTTATCAAATATAGTTTTTTTTTAATTTAATTTTATTAAATTAATACAATGCAAAGAACGAGCCCTCTGTCACATTTGGCATCCAAATAGGCCATTTCTGTTTCAATCATTCACGAATTAGGGCCTCAAAAAAGAGTTGAATTATTTTATATTTTGTACAATAAAACCATATGGTACCAAAAATATTATGGATTTCATAAAACGGTATATTGCGTTAGTTTTTGATCAAAACACGTCGAACTTTAATATTTCAGACAATACAATTGTGGGACTCGAACCTTGGTGAAATGGTGTGCTGCCAGCAATTATATTAACAAAGGCGTGTTTCTGGCTATAACGTTTTTTTCTCATTCCTTTACTAAGATGGTGACATGTGGACAGATCTGGACTGGTGGCTGATCAAATTGGATGAATCTTAACTTACCATGATCG